TGCCTTTATTTGTTTTATAACTCTAGACTGAATAACGCTCAGCTTTAGCTGTGCACAACATATTATTAAGTTACAATATCTACCTTGATGACAATGGGGCATCGGTGGCACAGTGGTTAGGACTCTCGCCGACCATGCACATGGTCCGGGGTTCGATCCCCTGTCGGCGCACACCCGATATCTATGGTCGGCCTAAATTTGGGCTACCGATATCCATGCTGAAAATTCCACACTTGTACTGAAAATACGGTGTGGAATCAAGCTGTAAATAAAAAAAAAATGAATTTGTTTATGAAAGATTAAAAAGTCAGAAAAATGTTATCTAACGGTAGGATTCCTTCAAATAACATGAGACTGAAATACCTTAAGTAAGAGTTGACGAATAAAATGCTGGTTTTGCTGATCTCACCTTAACGAACTGTTATTATCAACATAAATACAATGAGAGATACACTCAAATACGCATTTATACACAAATAAGTTATCTTTTTAACCATTTGACTACACAGAATATCTTTACAGAAGAATTTTGACTGGATTACTGCATCTAAATTCTTAAAATCTTAGTTTCCAGTTGACTATTGCATTAATGGAGCTGAATAATACAAAACAATAAAAAGTCAATAAAACACTCTTATCTCCATTCCCACGTGCTTAAATCTACAAACCCCATGAGGAAATTGAAATAACTACTTTGAACGAGGCACAGCTTATTACCTTTTTAATTAATTAATTATTCATTTCTGAGTGGATTACTGATATGCTATAGGTTTGCTTTTAAAGAAGAAATTAGTCCCCTGTGTGCTCATATACACATATATATGCTTTCATATTGTGATAGAAAGCAGTACACTGTTTACAATGGGAAGTCCTCCACTGCTTCACTTACTCTGGCTGATGTTCCTCCAGGTGCTGTTCTTTCCCCTTTTCTGTTTTCTTTCTTCTTACATGACTTACTTGCCCCAAACTGACGAAGCCAATTTTATTAAGTGAGTCGATAATCTGACTGCTTCTATGCGTGTTACTTCTGAGTCAGATTGTTCCAAAGTTAGTCATTGGTCTTTGTCAAGCGGTCTTAAGCTAATTCCCCCCCCCCCCGAATTTCAGGCTGTTAATTTCTCTTTCAGACGCAAGCGCAAATTATATGAAATACTTAGTCTGAATTCTTCCAAAATCATAGATGAGACAGGGGTTGAAACTTAACGGAATGTTAAGTACCTTTGACTGTGTATTTCCTCTGATCCTTCCTGGTCTTTCCACATCACGTCAGTTTCTAGAGAGATATTTTTTGTTTAACGTTCTACGTAGGGAAGTTATGGCAATCTGGGATCACCCAGTCTCTATTTTATAAGTTTGTTAGTTCTTGTATTCCGCCTATCCCCCTTTAATGTCCCTCCTTCATCTTTCCTGGGCTAGTACGTTGTTACACTGTGAAGAGCACTAATAGCCCATCAGTAAGGCGAGTGGAGTGTTGTTAAACCAACTTGTCAATAGTTTTGTAGATAGACATATGGACTTCTGAAAGAAATTAGCAAATATTATCTCGTCAGACTCTGAAAATCCTCTCTGTGCACACCTATCTCCCTGAATTTTGTCACGTAGAACTAAAAGCAACTGTAAAAGAACTTTATGCTTGGATGACTAAGTACAAAGACTCTACAATATCTTATTTGGTAGGCACACATTTTATGTGATGAGAAAAGTGTAAGTCAGGACACTACCAACTTACTGTGAAACGCTAGGTAAACAGTTCTCATTTTTCTTTATTACATTGTTGGTAATATTTTCACCTAATCTTATATTCATATGCATATTGAATAGTGTTATCAGTGTAAATGCCCTGTTTTCTTATTATTACCACTGTAACGAGGAAATTAGATGCAATACTGTACTGTATGCTGAGTATTTCATTTTCGTACCAAAAATACTGTTTCAGATAAAGCTATTATGATCATTTAACTGAAGTTCGGCTTCGGTAATTCAGTGGAATAATGCTCCCCAAACACATGGGCCGCCAGAGTTCGATTCCTGACCGACGCAATCCTGAACCACGCCTAGTTTAATGACGGATAGTAAGCGTGAGAACGACGGAAGGTTGGGCACTTAAGGCTAGCAACCGCACTCCCTAAAATAAAACGACGTTACCGCTATTGTAACTTTAGAGCTGAAGCTTGAAGCCCTATATTTCACTTGGAACAAACAGGAATGAGAAAAAATTAACGACCTGGTTGGCTTTTTTAGTTAGTCTCAATAAGATAACTGTCTAATTCAGTGAGTATTTATAAATACACTGCCTATTTTTACTTCTGAATACTTTAGAGATTCAAGTAAACTGAATTTTGATAAAGAAAGAACGAACATATTCGCAGATAAGATAATACGAGAGCTCGTTTTATTTTGTGGATTCTCTCTATTCAACTGCGTACATCCTAAACATGATCGATTATAAATTACAAAATGGTGTCTAAATATACTTTCTACAATGACTTCGAGTTATAGATAGAAAGTATAGACAACATAATTCTAAAGATGATGTAAGTAAACGAATTATTCATTGTTAAAAAGGGTAACTATTTGTAGAATAATTAGACGAGAGGGGAAGTGCAGTTCATAAACAAGGATAGACTAGAGACAAAATGCAAAATCGAACAAGACAGTTACGGTGGAGAGTTCAGGAGGGTTGGGATTTTTAGTAAAGTAACATTTTAAAACAGACAAAATAATTTAATAGATCTGGAAACTTAATAGTGAGTTCAAATCAGTGAGTGAAAATCAAAATCAAGATTGAGGAAACTGGTATCCAACAGCAGAAAACACATAAGCACATTAGCAAAATAGTTACGGTTGCCAGGGTAGTGAGAGTTCAGTCACAGTCTCTTTCTGTGTACATAGGTTGGGTCGAAGTCTTCTGATGGCAGCGGTTTCTGCGAACCAAAGTAACCATGGTTATATTTATACATTGATTATTTTGAAAGCCTGACTAATTTCCACTGTATGTCCCATGTCAGTCAGTTGCGCTTGAGAACACTTTACTGCATATCAAACGCTGTCCTCTCAGTCCTTCCTGTGCACTTGCTACAACAAGTGCAGGTGAGTCGGTAAGTGAATTTGGAGTTGACAGATACAGCAGGATACTTACCTACTCTTGACCGAGTTAACGAGCATACCGTGTTGTAAAGTGGAATGAGTCTGGCGGCAGGAAGTGTTATTTATTTTGATTGGACACTAGTAACTAGTGCGATGTGTTTAGTCCTTTCTTTGGTGCAGACTGAATTCGATCAGTTAGGTTTGCATGAGATACGCCTTGCTGACGAATGCCAACTAGCACGAAACCTAGGTCAGGTAACGCTTCTTGAAGATTGCCTCCAACCATCTAACGTCATCAAATGTTATTTATCCCTGGTCCATCCTTGTTGCAAAGCGAAATCTAAACTCTACCCTTGCTGTCTAGTTATACTACAAATAGTTACTCTTTTGACACTGAATAATTCGTTTACCTACATCATCTTTGAAATTATTGTATTATTATTATTGTGTCCTTTAATTCCTAGAGGAACATAGGGCTTCAGCCGTCTTCATTGCGTTCGGTTCTCTGCTACAGTCTTCACCTGGCTCCATGTATGCCTACACGCTTTCATCTCCTCTTCACATGACCTCCTCCAAGTCACCCTTGCACTGACTACCAACTCGCCGCTTCCCTTTCAGGTTCCACTCGAGCGATGGCTTGTCTAGTGATGTCACTTGATGGTTTCCTCAGAGTATGGCCAGCTAATCCATCTCCATTTCTTCCTACATATTTGTTTCACAATCGGTTCCTGGTTGGTTTGCTCCCAGAGATCTGTGTCGCTGATCTTTTCTGGCCGTCTGATCTTGAGTATTGAGCGAAGACAACTGCTAATGAAGGTCTGTAGTTTGTTTGAAATGCTCTTTATGACGCGCCAAGTCTCTGATCCGTACAGTAGCACTGACTTCACATTGGAGTTGAAAATCCGGATCTTATTTTTTATGCTGAGTGTTGTTGACCTCCACACAGACTTGAGAGTGGTGAAAGCTTGTCTGGCTTTTCCGATTCTTGCTTTGATATCCTCGTCAGTTCCGCCTGTAGTTGAAACGATGCTTCCAAGGTAGGTAGGTGAAGGAGGTTGTTTCTTTCAGGTTCCTCCCATTTATGCTGATTGTTGTCTGTTGTTGTTGTTGCTGCTGTTGGTGGTGTTGGCCAGGAATCTTCATCACCTCTGTTTTCTGAATGTTCACCTGAAGTCCTATCTTTGATGCTTTTTCTGCCAACTTGTTGCTTTTCGCTTGCATATCTTCCAGTTTGTGGGAAATCAGACATATATCATCGGCGAAGTCCAGATCCTCCAAGTTTTTTGTGTGAGTCCATTTTATGCCTGTTTCCTCATTGCCCGCTGTCTGTCGCATTATCCAACCTTTAAAATTACGTTGCCCCTATACTTTCTGTCTATAACTGGAAATCATTGTAATAAAAATTATGTTCAGAGACCATTTTGTAACATATAATTAATATTGTTTAGTATGTAATGCAGTTGAAGAGAGAGAATCCACGAAATAAAACGAGTTCGCATTATCCTTTATCTTGCTAAGCCAGAAACAATGCTGGTGAAGAGGAAAGGTTGGGCATGAGGCTAGCAACCCCATCCTATAAAATAAACACTGCTTCAGAAACTTCAAGTCACTAGCTTGAAGCCCTATGTTCCACTGGGGAACGTGAAGGATAAAGAAAAAGAAAGAAGAAGTATTATCCTGTCTGCAAATGTTTTCGTTCTTTCTTTATTCAAGCTAATAAGGGGAACCGGTTGTACGAGTTTGTATATTTTAAATTGATTAAGCGCCCAGTTTCTATGTATACTAGAAATTGTTCTGAAGACAAAGCTTGAAAGTTTGTTTCGATTGTGACCAACAGATTTATACACTTGGTTAATAGTCCTTATTGCTTTTAACTTCACTATTGATTTACAGTTCCACCCTACTGGTCACCTATGGGTGATCGTACTCATTTCCTATGGAAAGCGTGTATTTCTACAGAAGAATGTGAAAGACAAAAGAAGATTGCTGGTAAAACATGTCAACGTGAATGGTATATGGATTGGAGATGTGTAGAATGCTGTCAAGGTGAATTATGCAATTATTACGCTACAGTAAGTAAACAGATTTTGTTAAAACAAAGTGTCTATAAGACATATGCTAGTGGTTTAAGGGTAAAATGCCCACTAACCATGTCATAGATCCGGGTTCAATTCCTGGATGATGCACTTTTAAACCTCATCTAGTTTACTAAATTGTAGGAAACTTCGGAATAGTGGGAAGGTTGAAGATGAGGCTTGGAACGCCACCTCGTAAAACAAAATAACATGAGTGTTATAAGAACTCCAAATTTTGAAGCTTTGTGTCACACTGGGGATGCAAATGGAATGAGAACTGGTGAAAAGTCTAAAACACTAGGATAAAACAGCTGGCTATCTAGTACTGCCTGGTTTTCAGCGGTCCTCTAACTGATGTCAGTCCGTAATCACTCATGATTGTGTAAAAACTGAACGTATATTGTTAAATATTGAAGAAGATTTATAGTTCAAATGGAGGTTTCTTTTATTGCTGGTTCACTTACCAACTTGATCTAATTTCGAAGTTTTCATTGTCCTTCTTAACATGTTGTCTAGGATGACAGTGAAGCCTTCCAACTCAGTGAACATAACAATACCAGAAACAGAATTTAATTGGTGAATGGTGACTAGCAGTGGAATCAACCCAGGGTACGCATTTCGTCCTATTTGGGACTCGGCCGCCAGCTGGATGCACCTGCATTCCCCAGTGAATGATGATGTTCCCACCGAGGCTCGAACCCCAGTGCCCATAGTTTCAAACGCTAAAGCGCTATCCACTAGACCACTTTAGCCACGACAGCTGGCCACCTCTTGTGCAACGGGTCAGATTAATGCAGGCGCATCCAGCTGGTAGACGAAACCCAAATAGGACGAAATGCGCATCCTGGCTTGATTCCACTGCTAGTCACCATCCACCAATTAAATTCTAATTACACATGCCCAGACATCGTCAAAGTATCTGCACAAGAAGCCGACATGTCAACCTGGGACCGAGCACTTCGGTCCAATCAATTTAATGGACGGGATAATCTAAAATTCGGTTAAATACCAGAAACACTCAACAATTGTCAGACAATTCATTTAATGACTTCCTGAATTGTGAAAGACGTCCTTTAATAATTTTATCCAGTTGGTGTCTTGTCCAATTTCCTGCAATCTAAAATGATATATTCATCAGGTTCTGAAGTTACGCATCCCTATCAGTTAAGGAATAATTGTTGCTGACAACGTTATAATGTGCCTTTTAAACGACATTGAACGACTGACATCAAAATTCCAAGAGGTACACACGAAAAGATCAATAACAACGAATATACTATGCATATATATATATATATATATAATAAGGATGAAAAAGTGAGGCAATCTGTGATAATAGTGTGAAATATTCCCATATCACATGAATTAAAAGTCAACCTGAACGAAGAATATTCGTTTCAATAATTTCTCCTATTCAGGTTCTTAAAATTATAAAATATAATATTTATGGTCGTTACAATAATGACCAGTTATGCGGTGGATACATCTTTAAAGTAGAATAACAGATTAGTTATGGGGTGTCAAAAGATGTCTTACCTAAGTTTAGCTCTTCTTCATGCATATACCATGTCAACTGTTCCTGTGGTTCAAGTTATATAGCGCGGACGATTAGGCAGGTTCGTCTACGAGTTCGAGGACATTTACCAGCAGGGGGAAATTAAGTGCATGAAAAGCTCGATCCTGTTACACTTGGTCGATAGTGGACATTGCATCGATGTCAACACTGCTTTCAGGGTTATTTATATACCGAATTCCGAAGTCGTTATCAAGTACAGTTGGCTTACGTCTCCTACACATAGCTGAAGCTGTTGCAATAAGATTGACCAGACCAGGACTTTTTATCCAAAAACAACTCGTCATGTGGTCAAACTTGGATTAATGGTTCCTCTCCTCACCAAGAGTGCTTCTCCCCCTTGACCGTTTTGACTTTTTTCCCTTTGCTAATTATTACAATTATTATTTTGTTCGTTATAATTTATACCCTTCATTCAAATATTCTCTCAATACTATCGAATTTTCCATTCACGCTATCCGGACTTATTATTAGTGATATTATCTCTTTTCTCAATATATGCCTCCACCTGTTTCATTTCACACATTCGTTATTTCATGATGAGCCTCTCATTGCAGTTTTACTATCTCCTCTTTAATACAGACCACTTTGTACTATCCACTCACTCACTTGACACCTTTTATAACCTTGAACTGACTTGTCAATTTTCCTACCCCACACTCTACAAATCTATCATGACTAATCACCACCATTGTCTCCCATTTTACAATATTTTCTAATCGATTTCAGCCTAGCACGTTTGTCACACAGATACGACTATTTATTTTGACACCCCATGATAACTAATCTGTTATATCCGCCGTATAACTGGCTATTATTGTAACGAAAACAAATATTATATTTTATAATTGTAAGAATCTGAAGAGAAATTATTGAAAAGAATATTCTTCGTTCAGAGTGACTTTTAATCTGTGATAACACGAATAAGAAAAAACAGCATGATTGAACAAACAAATACTCAGGTAGAAGTAGTTGTCGATAAAGGCTAATAAAAACAAATGAACCGATTAAGTAATGTTAGATTGTAAGGGAAGGAAATGAAACACGTTTATAATGAAGATAAGATTAAGGGATGATAAGAAAGGGGTTGAAAATATAAACAAGGGATGGTGTGGAAGTCATTAGTTAGTTATGCCTTAATAGGCCAACAAAGGAGGGATAATGGCTGTACAAACTTCTTTTGAATGTATAGATTAGGGGCTTAATAGTTCGAATGCCTCTCGCCTCAGCTGTGTGCGTGCAGTAGATGAAATACGAAGTCTATTGGGAAGATTCGGTGGGATACGATGAATTACTTTGAAAGGTCTCGTCTTCTCCACTACATGGCCACATTCCAACTAAATGTGACAAAATTGAGCTACGGATTGTTTTTGTCTGTCCTTTGCCAAACCACCACGATGGGAGATGTTCACTAATACGTTGGCTAAGCTGTCTAGTAGTACACCCAACATAATTGTCACCACAGCTGCAGTTGAATTGATAAATGCACATAGATGTGGCAAAACTATCATGCTTATCCTTCGTTTGCGTCCCAATCATTCGTTGGCTAGAGAATGACAAACATTGGTATGTTGCATAAAATGTTCTTCGTATACTCCTGGAAATTCTCTGGAATAAAATCTCACTTGATAAGTCACCAATAAATTGTAACTTAATAAAAGAGGTTTTTTTACGTGCAGTCATCGTCTCAGGTTTTCTCTCTGATGTCGTCCAGCTTCTCTGTTTCAATGATCCGGCGAGTTATACTGAATACGACGATTCTCCTTGCAGCCTGTTTGAATAGTAGCTGTACAAAGCAACATTTTGCGAGTTGTCTGAACTATGTTGGGGCTCTTCAGGTTGAGTCTTATATATATATATATATATATATAGTAGTGAATGCTCATGACTCACATTCAAACTGAAATTTATACATACCGATTACAAAACACTTCCTATGAATGAATGACAGTATGAAAAACAGTGACAGAAAACGGAGTAGAAGGTTATGTGTATATGCTTGCCAGTGTGTAAGTGAATAACTAAGGACAAATTAAGAAAATAAAATGTCCGTTATTTGGTGGATGGTGACTAGCAGTGGAATCAGGGTGTGCTCATTTCGTTCTATTTTTGGGACTTGTCAGCTGGATGTATCTCCATTCACCAGTGAGTGATGGTTTACTCACTGAGACTCGAACCCAGGACCTTCTGGTTACAAGGCTAGTGAGCTCGTAGACCATTAAGTAGCAGCTATCTAGTACTCCCAGCTGGTTATCCAATGGTTCTGTAACCGATGTCAGCTTATGATGATATCCTGTAACCAATCAAATCAAATCCCTAACCAACCAATACTGGAAAGAATATTCTTTGTTCATCAGGATCATTCTTTTGAGATTTTTAATGAATATTTTTGTAATCAATTTAATTTACTATTGATATTTCTGTCTTGCTTCTTCTTTTTTAAAACTTTTAGTTATCAGCGCATCGATCAGGTTTGAATAAGAAATTGATCAATTTCTTCATAATACCCTTCATTATGATTTATCGTTTGTTTTAATCAACCCCTTGAAAATTGAATAATGATCTATTGTATATTAGAAATGAAAAAAATATTGTTTATGGGTTTCAGTATTTTTATTAAACAAATTTCAACTGGTTTTCCCTCCCCCACCCCACACACACATTTTAATCGAACTACTTTTTGTATATATATGTATGGCTATGTATGAACCAAGAAGAAAATCCCCTGAAAATAAACAGTTACTTGAAATTTGAATATTCTTCTGCTATTTATTGAATAACATGATGAGTTTAAAGTAATTTACAAGTTTCAATTAAGAACACAGTGTATTCAGCGAAGAGACACTCCTTACAGTGAATTTATTATCAGCCTGTACAATCGTAGATATACTTGGTTTTTAAGAAATTATGTCCCGTGGGGAAATTTTAACAAAGGTATGTGGATACATAAAATAATAATGATAGTAGGATGAAATGTAATTAAAATATTTGTGATTATAATCACAGTTAAATATCAAGTGGTAAAATAAATAAAGTCATATATATATAGAATATTTTTAAGTATTGGCTTTGATTGGACACTAGTAAGTAACTAGTGTGATGTGTCTGGCTAGTCCGTTGCTTGGTGCAGACTGAATTCTGTCGGTCAGGTTTGCAAAGTGGGCCACCAATCTAGGTAGCTCGCCATCAGAAGGAATATGAGTCCCTTCAAGGTTCCAGATACGCCTTGCTGAAGAGTGCCAACTAGCACGAAATCTAGGTCCAAGGCTTCCTACCGATTGCCTACAACCATCTAAGTATTGGCTTTTACGGATTTTTGTTTGATTGGTTGGAGGATTTCAACATGAGCTGACATCAGTTAGAGAACCATTGAAAAACCCGCAGGGAGTACTGGACAGCTGCTTAGTTAGTTTAGTTTGAGACTCTTTTGTAGTGCGCACCCACCGTCAGAGTTCGAACCCAGGCTAGCGAGCTCGTAGACCATTAAACCACTGGGACCC